CAGATTTCGGTGTAGGTGTGGAACACCAAATGTAGTGTTATTATTCTCCTTTATGGGTCATTTGGATGTGAAAATAATGTAAATTAATAGATTTTTCTCTGTGTATTTGTGTTTGTTATTATCAGCTGGGTGTTGTATGAATACAGCAAATTCCGTGGTCGTCAGGTCCTGCTCCATCCCAGTGAGATCGGTGATTGGCAGAAGTTCCAAGGCTGGGAGCAGATTGGCTCTCTGCGTCCGTTACTACAGGTATAAAACACCACCACATGCCTAGTTCTCAGGAAGCGAAATTACTTGTGTTTTGCTGTGTGTGTGTTCAGATCCAATGGGGTTTGGCTAGTTTTGCTTTTAGGTGTGAGAGTTAATTGTTTGGGAACCGCACATATAAAGGCAGGGCAAACACAGCACAACATGTGGACATAAAGACACTCCAGTAAATCCAGAATGAGACCGTTAATACCCATGATGACATAATAATACATTGTTAAGCGAGTTAGAGTTTAGCCAAACTTTATCAATAGTAGTTTCTCTTATAGCTAGTTTAAACATCCAAACATGATCATGTATCTTCTGTGTCTTTCTCAATAGAAACGTGCTTATTTCCGGCTGCGTAGTGCCGAAACGGGCTGCTTGATGTCTCTGACTGGATCACTGGATGATTTAAAGCTGCTCCGGGTGCAAGTGCTGGAGGAAACTGGTGGTCCAGAGCAGATATGGGTTTATGAGAATGGACTTCTGCGCTGCAAGGTACTCTACACTTTGGTCACCTTTCCAGATCCAATTCTGTACTCGAGTGCACCTGTGATGTTGACTCTGGTTCCGTTTAATTCAATTCAATTCACGTTTATTTGTATTCACGATAAAAATCGTTGCAAAGCAGCTTCACATAGAATGAAAGTTTCTACATTACATTTAGGAGTTAGCTTATCAGTGGTGACTATGTCAAAGTGATATCCATATGTAGAGTAAAAATCATGCAGTTAGTAAATGACATGTATTCGAACAAACGGTGAACACTATTAACAGCAATGATTATATGTTGTGATCAAACTTAAAGGAAAATTTGGTAGTTTTGTATGTTGGTTCAGGGTTGGCGTCAACTGAGGTCCTCTGAGGGGTTGGTATCATCTCTTCTCAGGTGTTCGGTCATCTCAGATCTTTGTAAGGGCTGGATCCAAACTGAAGCTTGTGTAATTCCAAGTTACCTCGGGATTCCCATCCCGTGGCAAAAACAGAGAAGCAAATAGACAAATATTAGCGTAGCTGCTGTTCAAACCAAGCAAAAATGTTAATGTGCATTTGATCAGATATAACTGGAGTACGAGGTTATGAGATACATTATGTGAATGATTGGCTAAAGAGATGTGTCTTTAATCTGGATTTAAACAGAGAGTGTGTCTGAACCCCGAACGTTATCAGGAAGGCTATTCCAGAGTTTGGGAGCCAAATGTGAAAATGCTCTACCTCCTTTAGTGGACTTTGCTATCCTAGGTACTACCAAAAGTCCAGATTTTTACAACGTTAGGGAGCATGATGGATTGTAGCGTGATAGAAGACTGGTTAAATACACAGGAGCTAAACCATTTAGGGCCTTATATGTAAGTAGTAATATTTTGTAACTGATACAGAACTTAAGTAGCCAGTGTAGAGATTGAAAAATTGGGGTAATATGATCATATTTTCTTGACCTGGTAAGGACTCTAGCCACTGCATTTTAGACTACCTGTAGCTTGTTTATTGAAGATGCAGGACAACCACCTAGCAGTGCATTACAACAGTCCAGTCTAGAGGTCATGAATGCATGAACTAGCTTTTCTGCATCAGAAACTGGTCAAATGTTCCGTAGCACAGTGATGTTTCTAAGATGGAAGAATGCTGTTTTTGTTAACACGTGCAATCTGATTTTCAAAAGACAAGTTGGTGTCTACTCATCATGACCATGATCTCTCTGGCTTTTTCTCTTCAGATGGTCGAGGACTGTTGTGTGGAGACGTCTGGAGGTGTGGTGATGGCAGGTGGCAGGTTGAATATCTCACCTGAACCAGGCAAAGACAATCAGTTCTGGAGCATCACAGGAGACGGAATCATACGCAACAACCTCAAGCCTGACCTTGTGCTGGAGGTCAAAGGTCAGTACTTTATACATTTGAATAAAAGAAAAGACAATGAAAAGAAAAGAAATGAAATTAAACAGAATGGTTGGAGTGGAACAATAAAAGAAACATTCACATGCACATGAGGCGTGTGTCTGTCAGTCATAAACCTACACCCTCCACTGACGAGCTCATAATCTCTTACTGATGACACATTCTGATGTCACATCATACCTGTGTGGTATTTCTATTGGCAACTGCGCTTGATCTGCTCAGGCAACTGCACTGCCGCCCTTCATACATACCACAGCATCCTGTCAGAGGCGAAGATGTGTCTGAATCTGTAGCACAGATGAAGGGGCTACCATTTAACACTAAACTGAATATTAATTAAATGCTAATAATATTCCAAAACTATTCTAATAAAATATTAATATGATTAAAATATAATAAAACACAATATATATTATAAAAAATTATCATTAATAACATTTTAAAAGGTTCTATTGTCAATATGAGCTGCTAAATTATTTATTTGGCTAGAAATTACTCTTTGAGAGTGCCTTCTTTACAACTGTATTTTTAAAATTTCTTACTCAGCTGGAAAAGTCATTCATTGGTCAGAAATTGTTTGAAAGGGAATAATTTGAAAAATTATTTTTACATGTAAAGCAGGAGATAAGGGACATCGAACAACAAGTAAGATGAGGGTAAATTATTTATTTGGACTGTGACAATAACATCTGTGATGGAAGATCACTGCTGTATGGCTCCTTTTGTTTGTCTGAATTCAGAATGAGGTAGTTTGTGGTTCAAATTTCTGTGTAACTTGAGCGCCACCCTGAGGTCAGTCAGCACAGCAGGAAACCATCATTTGATGCCATCTAGTACCCACTTAATGTATTACACCTTTTTGTATTACTGTCTTGTATTACTTAATGCATTACTGTCTGCATTTATTTGAACAGAAAATACAGTAAAACATTAATATTATAACATTTTATTTCAGTTTAAAGTAACGGTTTTCTATTTTAATCCATTTTAAAATGTAATTTATATCTGTGATGACAAAGCTGAATTTTCAGCAGCCGCTAATCCAGTCTTGAGTGTCACATGACCCTACAGAAATCATTCTAATATGCTGATTTGATGCTCAAGAAACATTTATTTTTATTATTAATGTTGAAAACAGTTGTGCGGCATATTTGTGATGATAAATCATTTTTGATGAAAAGAAAGTTCAGCTTTTACTTGAAATTGCAATCTTTTGTAACATAAATCTCTCTTCTGTCACCTAATGCATCATTGCTGAAGGAAAGTATTAATTTCTATTAAAAAAAACTATTGATGCCAAACTTTTAAATGGTTGTGTAATTTAAACCTAAAGAGGTGTGTTTAAAGTTACTGCCTGTTGAAATCTTGAGACGAATTTGAACTTCTTAATCTATTCTTCATCCAGGTGGCCAACAGTATGATAAAAACCAGGTGATTCTAAACACCTTTGATGAGCAGAAAAGCAACCAGAGATGGACTGTGGAAATCCTTTAGTGCTTGGGTCAAAACAGAGGCCGTTTCTCTAACTCCTGCTATTCAGCAGAAACCCTAAAATGTCTGAGGCTGTTGTGCACTGAGAAGATGATGTAAATCTAAACCCCAAAAATGGCTCCGATGAGTCTCTGTCACTGATGGGATTATTATCCCGAGATGAGAATGTGTGGGGGACCAAACCATTTGAAATCATCCATCTAGATTACAGTTGTCTTCGGACGTTCAACTGAAGTTCATCGACTGCATCAAGGACCCTAATGAGACCTGCCTCAGTTTCAACATCTTTTGTGCTAGTACTTTTTTGTTGTTACTCTGCATTGACCTAGAAACACAAAGTACTGTCCTGCTTGCAATGCAATGATATTACCAAAGAGGGCGCAGTAGCATAACGATTTGTATGTAGCTGCACTTTAGCTGACCTTGTTCATCTTTTGTGTCAGCAAAGAGTTGAGGTTAATTTAGTTAGTATGTCCCAGTTTACCCCTTGCCTGTCCTAATTACACTTTATAGGGGCAAAAGCACCTTCGTTCATTCATAAGTAGCTGTGTATTCTGATTCTGAAATTATTTTTTGCAAGAAATGTATAAGTTATAGATACTTAGTATAGTCATATACTACTAGTAATTAGTATAATAGATGTTTTACTTGTGCCTTAAAAGCTCCTAAAAGCTTGAAATAGATTTTTTTCTTGTCTGCAGCCTTTCATGTCAAATCTCAGGATGGTCACTAGTAAAGGGCTTGTTCATGTTCTTGTGGTGCCAGCAGTCATGACATTATTTTCTTGTGGCTCCAGAGTAATTAATCACATTAATGGCTCAGTGGATCAGAACTAAGTGCCCATGAGCAAAAACTGCACATTTTAAATGGCATACTTCCAAGGCTTCCTGCACCAGATGAGCAACTGCTGTTCAGATGAATGAGAATACAAACAGGTATTACAGACCTCTCTGAATGTAAGGCAGCATTTATTGCCATTCAAACTCACTGAAAACAAAATGTGGGAACTCGTTGACTCATACAATTTTAAAGTTGCTGTACAAAGTTATATATTTTTTTTTTAGTATGTCAGATTATTCTGCAAAATAAGTATAAAAAGCACTATTGCACAATTAGAATTTTATATAAACATTTACTCCTAGCTGTGCTGATCTGGCATCAGTTCACTCCTGCTCACAAACTCACATAAATTTGAAAGGCGGCTTATTCCTGATCAAAGCTTTTTCTGTCTCTCCGTTTTCTTTTATAAAGATTTTTTAGTAGTTGTTGTGTGTATGTTTGTGTACATTTTCTGACGTGTTTAGTAATGTTTTAGTGTTTTTATATTTTCATGCCCATATTTCCAAAATATACTGTTACATTAAGAATAAAAAAAATTTTGTTTGTTTGTTATGACTTTTCAAGTTGTTACTAATATGATTTGAAATAATGAACAGGGCTTGTCTGCTAATTTTATACTGCAAAATAAAGACACTAGCCATTAGATAAATGTTTTTAATTCAACAGACACTGAAAAAAGTGCCAGCATAAGTAAGTTTTTGGTTGCCATAGTTACTCTTTTTCGTCCTCAATGATGGAGACTACAGTTTTGCCACGAGCATGACCCTGCTCTACTTTCTGAAAGCCTTGAGGCACCTGAGCAAATGAGAACACTTCCTCCACCACGGGACGGACCTACAAGGACACAACAGCACACAAATATTAGAACTGAAATTGAACATCCTGGGAGGACATGGATAATACCTGCAGTTTAACGTGATGATGACTCATTGGTGTCATGTTAATCTCATCCAAATCCACTGAATATCAACTTTTAAAATGCGCCTGCAATACATTAGGTGGTGCTCAAGTGGGTGGTGGGTGTATAGTAGGTTAGCTGTGGGTGTGCTGTGGTGTTGTGGTCAAAACTCAGAGCTGGTAAACAAGAAACTGCTGGTTTGACCCACACCAGAACCAAGTTATGAGTCGTCGGTTTGCTTTGACTGTACCTGTAAAGAGTTCAAGTCACCTTCATGGTAAATGTACTGTTTACAGTGCACTGTTGTCTTGAGGAAACATGATCTGCTGAACTGATTTATTTGAACTCCTTATCAAATGCCAGTTGATTATAATCTTAATGTCTACAATCTGAATACTGTTGTCTTGAGGAAACTGCTGAACTGATTTATTTGAACTCCTTATCAAATGCCAGTTGATTATAATCTTAATGTCTACAATCTGAAGCATTAATAACACTAATATGAACAAAATCAATACATTAGACTTCCAACGTGGTTAACTGTTACTAATTAGACCGGAAGTCTGGCCAAACATTGTCCTAAAATATTGAACATTTTATTATCATGAATATCTTCTCAAAACACTCATTAACCACAGTCTTAAAGTTGAGAGCGGAAACATAAACATAGCTGGTTAGTAAACACAGGACATACAGGCACAACAGCACACAGCTTTAAAGGAAACAAGATGAGACACATTTCCTGCCTGCTGCACTGCTGTAATGTTTCTGTAAATGTTTTTTTTTTAAATGTTTTTCTGTTTAACAGTATTGAAAAGCTCCCTTAAATGCTGCTTAACATTAAACAATAAGGATATATTCAAATCAGAAATAATCTAATATTATAGTATTTTAACGTTTTTTTTTTCTTTTCTATAACATCTGATATTAAACTCACAAAAATCTCAGCTCCAGAACTACTCTTTCAATTAAATGTTTTTCTTGTGCATACGTCTGCTATCTGCAACATCTGATGTTTATCATAAGGTTAGCTACACTCCACACTTGTTCCCATCATGAAGCAGTCACGTTGTCATAACACAAGTTCATAATGACTGTTCTGTTTCGTTTCTGTGTTCAAACAAACAGCACAAGACTTAGAGCCATAAGTAAATGTGAAAATGTGTTCACAGACATTTTGTATTGCTGGTAAAGATAAGGTGTCATTCTGTTTTGATAAGGAATAATTTTTCTTCCTGCGGAAAGTAGATGTGATTTATCTATTTAGTTGAGTTTCGACTGATGTAAATCACTGTCAGTGTGAACAACCCAAACTACCAAAACTGAGAATCATGTATATGAGCTGACAGTTAAGAGAACTGATTGAAGAGAGAGGAAGGAGACATGTCAGACACACACAGGCTGCTGTACCTTTCCAGCATCAACCATTTCGCTAATCTCGTCCAGCGTAGGGCCGCTTGGAGCAAAGAAACCCCAGCGATAGTGCACTCCTTTCCTGAGGTGCTGAGAAAGAGAGAGAGTCAGTACTCAATAGACTTCTAGCTCCACATCTCCAGCTTGACAAAACAATGAAACAGTGTCAGGCGATCAGGTTAAGGTTCCCGACCCTTCTTCTTTTCTTTTCTTCCATTCTACCTTCGTCCATTCTGGATCAGTATATACACTCATTAAATCCCTTATTCTGTCCCCATGCCACAGGACAGGGTGGTGTAAAGCTGTGAAAAGGGTGGGTAATGGCTGTGAAAAGAAAGTGTGTTTGACTGGGTCATCAGCAGCTGCGGTGAGATCACTGCTCATGACTTTATGTGAAATTGTGTGCCATGAGAGTAACTGAAAGGAATTCAGAATCTAATTCAAATGTGGAAAGTTTCAGGATTTTGCTAAATATTTAACAAAATAGAAGCATTTACATCATAAATACATGTGCAAAATGTAAATGTTTGTTCTGTACTAGCTACTATGAATAGAAGGCATTTGTGTGTCAATTTAATGTCAGAAAAAAAGGAACCAGTGTGGATTTCCTGCTAAAACATCAACAATTGCCACGAAGAGTGTTCTGACAAACCACCAAAAAAAGAGGAAAACTCATCTTTACACTGCAGTGCACAAAGAGGGGTCAATAAGTTTAGGATCAGTACAATTTTTTTTTTTTTTTTAAAGAATACTTTTATTCAGCAGGGATGCATTAAATTGATCAAAGGAAACTGTAAAGACATGTATAATGTTACAAGAAAAATTATATTTCAAACCAATGCTGCTCATCTGAACTTTCATCAAAAAATCCTAAAAAAAAAAAAGTATCACGGTTTCCACAAAAATATTAAGCAGCACAACTGTTTTCAACATTGATAATAATAAGAAATGTTTCTTGAGCACCAAATCAGCAAATTACAATAGTATCTGAAGGCTCGTGTAACTCTAACAACTGGAGTAATGGCTGCTGAAATTTCAGCTTTGCCATCACAAGAATAAATGACATTTTTAAATATTTTTAAATAGAAAATGATTAATTGTAATAATATTTCACAGTATTACTGTTTTTACTTTACTTTTGATCAAATACATGCAGCCTTGCTGAGCATTAGCAACATTAAAAAATCTTACAAACCCCAAACTTTTGAACAGTATATTGTATAAACTCAGTGTCATCCCTATTTTCAACCGCTTCTTGGGTCTGGCTTCTGATAGTCAAACAGTAAAGAAAAAACTGGTTGAGGATGGGAGGAACTCCTTCATTTTCTTTTATGTTATTTTTGGTTTCTTTTTCCTGCAGCCTCCTGATATTTTTAAGAAAACCACTTAAGTGATTCATACATGCTGCTAATTCACCCACACATACATCATTATGTAAGGTCGTGGTTATAAACAGATGAACCATAAATATAAGAGGAGTTCCGGTCTCTGAGGCAGAAGAAACTCATTTTCATTTTCTCAGCACACGGAAGGGAAGTCCCTACCTTCAGCACTTTGCATCCTATGGTGACTCCAGACTGCATCATTCCATCTGCGAGGCCCAGTAGGTCTGTGTTATGCAGGAATGGTGTTACTAGAGTAACATATTTAGCACCATTCCAGGGTTTCAGAAGATCTAGTGCCCATTTCTCACTTTCACCCCCAATATTATCTAAAATCAAATCAAACCTGAAAGAGAGAGAGAGTGAAAGGGGACGAAATAAACTCAATGTAAATCACAAGTTCCAAAAAAAAAAGTCACAAACTGCCCAAACACTAACTTTTGTAATGTCTGTAGTTGTTTTTCGACCGGTCCAGCAGTGTAGTCCACAACATCATCAGCACCCAGATCTCTCACCAGCTGCTCGGCATTCTGGGAACATGTTACAGTCACATGGGCGCCCCAGGCCTTTACCATCTGTAGAGAAGCAAAAACCTAGATTAAAACTCACTCATGAATCAAAATGTCACATATATAGAGGTATTACACACAGATGATTATGTTTTATTACTCATTGAGGAGATGAAATACAAGAGGTAATTTGTAATGTGACTCCAACATTTTTGTAAAATGTTTAAGCAAAATGGAAAATGCATCACCTGTATAGCTAAGGTTCCCACTCCTCCTGATCCTCCCAGGACAAGAACACTGCATAAGGAAATGATAGATCTATTACAGCCAGTCTTAATCAACTCCACATCTATATATGATGATTCATCCAAACCACTAAAAATAAAGTAAGATTGATTTAAAATCAACCTTGTTGTGTTCAAGTGTTGCTGAGATCACTATGTAGCAAGCAAAGCGGAACTTCCTGCATAAAATTGTATGATTGTCTTTAAATAAGAAGAATCTGCTACATAACGTTGCACATTTGTAAAATAAATGCTTCAATCTGGTAGTTAATGTTATTTGTAATTATTTTGAGATGCCTAATCTAATTTTGGTACATGCTAATTCAGTTGATAAAACAAGAGACAGAACAAGACAAAATAAAAAGCAGAGGAACAACAACAAGTATTTTTAGTTTAAAGCGTTCATAAGATATATTTTTATTATTTTTTCCACTTATAATGACATACACCTCCCTTTCTCTGTTCCTTAGGATTAAGTTGATTGCATTTCAAACATTTAAGAATGTGAAATGAAATATAGGAGTTAGGAATAATAGTATCAAATCAATGCTGCGGAGGAATTTTTTTTCCAGCTTGATTCAATGCGATATGACCCCTTTAACTGGATGAACTAAACACCTGGGGCCGGTTGCACCAGCTAGACGTAAAAACACTGGGTGTAAGCCCTACGCTGGGCTTTGCAACGTCCTGCTTTACGATAAATATTTATACCTGTTGCACCAACTGAAACTACGATCAGGCGCAACTACGCCTGGCGTAGACAATGCGCGTCCACGCCGATTACGTCCAGCTGGTGCAACCGGCCCCTGAACTGCACCTACTCGACTCAACAGGAACAACAGACAATTTGGCATAATCACTGAAATACTTGCAAATTAGTACTTGCCGTTTCTTAGAAGAGTTGTCTTTGTTCAGGCCACCAGTATTGACGATGGCGGACCAGACTGTTGCAGCCACGTATGGGATGGATGCAGCTTCAACATGCCTCAGTGATTTGGGCTTATGCGACACCTGAATCACAGACATGAACAATGAACTTCTAGACGTAGAGGCAATGAAATGGCGTTAAGGGCAACAGCTGTATTGTGCTCTTAATCTATATATGTGAATGATCCATGTGTTAAATGTTTTATCTGTTTATCCTACAAAACATGAGTCCGAATATTACCTCATTGGCACTGAGAACTACAATCTCTGCCAGGCTGCCCTGCTTCCACGGAGGGATAGCGGCCCACACCTGACAGAGAAAAACAAGCAGACACTGGCCTCAATAACTGACGTCTTATGGTTTAGGGTTATTAGTGTCCATTATATATATATGCAGTTACAATATTATATGAAATAATAGCTGAATATGGCACCTGATCTCCTGGTTTAAAGTAGTTCACATCTAGCCCACATTCCATGATCTCTCCGGATACATCTCGCCCCAGGATTAGAGGAAACTCACTGCCTGACTGCTTCATGTTCAGTGGGTCACGTTTCATGGCCATAGTAGCTGCTCCATAACCACCTACCACAAACATCAAAGAAAGACTTAAGTATACTATAAACTCTTACCAAAAATGTTTTAATATATTCACTGTACATTTAAAAAAAATAAAATACATGCTCTTTTTTAAGCATTTATGGCATTAAATGCATATGTCCTCTGAAACACTTCAGGATGAGGTTTAGGACTTTCAAGAAAACTTGGTTCTGATTGGTTAATATATGATAATATATGATTATATTGTATATTGTTCAACAGATGAAAAAATAAATAAAATATAACAAAAATTATAAATAAAATTAAAATGAAATTTAAAAAAAAAAAAAAAATCGAAATAGTATATAAATAAGCTTCACTAATGACAGTTCATAATGACTAGGCAAATTATGATTGCATGACAGTTCAAACATTTTCTTTATGGAATATGGCCATATGTCACTCACTGTCATAGAAAAGTTTTTTAACCATGTAAGATTCATACATTCGTTCTTTTTTAAAATGCCACAAGAGAAATTAAACATATAAACACAGTGATATCAGTGATGTGGGCTGAACGAATGTCGCATACCCCTCATACTGATGTCGATGGGGTTTAAACCCGCGGCGTGCACCTTCACGGTCACTTCATTGGGATAATGGATGATTGGAAGCGCCGCGTTCTTGGTGAACCTCAACACCTCGTTTTTCCCATATTTGTCGATGACCCATGCGGGCATTACATTCCTGAGGGAGGCTGAGAAACTGAAGCTCCTATAATGAGCCCTCATCGAGCACACCAACCACCTTCTACACATAAGCATGACTGATCAGTCTAAAACAATCCAAAGCTCTTCTCCTGAGAATCTCTCACGGTGCCATAAACCCGTCATTGATTATAAATAAAACCTATAACTGCTTTATAACACTCTGAAGTTCAGCGAAAACCCATCTCGTGTCTTGCAAAGTCAAAACAAACCCGTGAACTTTCACACGACAGACTAAACCAATCACATGCCGCAGAGCCCTTCGATTGTCCAATCAGAAAACAGAGATGACAGGACGTCAACGAGGTCAACGGGAAGTGTCATGTCAGCCTCCAGTGCGGCGTTTCGTCCGGCGGCAGCGATGCTCGGTCTGTCCATTAGAGAGGTCTGTTCTTATCTTAACTTTAATTTACGCAACAGCTTACTCGTAAACAAAAATTAAACTAAAGATTCACCGCACTGTTTTTCTTGGCACCGTGTTACAAAATGTTCAAAACATCCTCTAAATTCAATCAATAAGCCTGGATGAACAGTAAGACCAGCTTAAAAGTTTAAGCTGTTTTTTAGCAGGCTGTAATTATTATTTTTTGTTTGTTTAATATCTAGACACGTGGTTTTTATATATCAATCTACTAAAATGACAAAACACTGTTTAAAAAATGTTTTAAAAAAATCAAATGTCCCCTGCCTACTACAGGTATCCCAGGCACTGAGGGATGGGAGGGTGTCCGCCACTGAGCTCTGCAGAAAATGCATTGACCAAATACAAAGAACACATTACCTGAATGCATTTATCACCATTACAGGGGAGACAGCTATGGAGCAAGCACAGAGTGCAGACAACAGGATCCGCACAGGTGTGTGTGTGTGTGTGTGTGTGTGTGTGTGTCACGTACTACTTATATATCTTTAATGGCTGAATAAAATACATGTGCTCCGTGTACTTTCTTGTAAGGTAAACCTCTTGGTCCTCTGGATGGCATTCCCTTCTCTGTGAAAGACAACTTCTGCACGGAGAACATCGAGACCACCTGTGCTTCAAACATGCTTAAAGGTCAGCTAAAGTACATTAACACAAGACTGAAACATAGAAACCTTTGCTTTGTCAGGGATGATTTGTGAATGTCATATTTCGTCTGTTTGCATTTGTAGGTTATGTTCCTCCATTCAGTGCTACAGTTGTGCAGAAGCTGTTGGATCAAGGAGCAGTTCTTGTTGGAAAAACTAATTTAGATGAGTTTGCAATGGGGTAAGACTCACACACATACTTTTTAAAGGTTCGGGGCCAGTAAAAGAAGTTAACACTTTTATTCAGCAAGGATGATCAAAGGTGGCTGTAAAGGAATTTATAGTGTTTAAAACATATATATTTCAGTTCTTTTGAACTTTCACTATTCATCAAAGACCCCTGAAAAATGTATCACAATTTTGACAAAATATTAACCAGAACAACTGTTTTCAATATTGATAATAGTAGGAAATGTTTCTTGAGCACCAAATCAGCATATAGAATTATTTCTGAAAGATCATGGGACATTGAAGCTTCAATGTCACATGCTGAAAATTCAGCTTTGCGTTCACAGGAATGCATTACATTTTAAAATATATTCTGTTTGAAAATGGTTATTTTAAATTGTAATAATATTCCACAGTATTACTGTTTTTACTGTATTTTTGATCAAATAAATGCAGCCTTGGTGTGCATAACAGACTTCTTTAAAAAGATTTTTAAAAAACGTACCAACCCCGAACGTTTAATCTGTAGTGCAAATAATTTATAAAAACCAATAGATTATGCTAATGTCTGCACGTCTTTCTTAAGAGCTGGAAGTACAGATGGGGTGTTTGGTCCAGTTCGTAACCCATGGAGCTACACAACCCTATACCGTGAGCAGAGCACAGAAGATCTAGATTCTGACTGGGCAATCGCAGGAGGAAGTTCAGGAGGTAGTGCTGCAGCAGTGGCATCTCTCAGCAGCTTCCTGTGAGTGTTAAACTCTCTATAAAATCACGCAAGCTATATTTAATAGTCAATATATGCCTGGACTTTTGCTTCAGTACAAGCATGCTCATAAAGCTTAGTTCATATATTTGAGCATGTGCTCTAAGATGAAGGCAGAGGAATAGTTCTGTATATATCTGAAATAATATATCATATAATTCAATATTTTTCGCATTATTTTAAGAACAGATGTAGATATACAGTAACACGTTTCTAATTTTGGTCCTTGTGAGCCTTTACTGGTGCCTAATTGAACAAAATGTATTTGCGTAGCAATGTAGTGCTCTGCATTTGATTAATAGGTGTCCATGTGCACACCGTGAGTTATTTATGTAAAAAACATTATTACATGAGGCTTCAGATAATATGTTTACATATATCTGATCTGCTCTACATGTCTTTTCTTTTAGAGCCTTGGGATCTGATACAGGAGGCTCTACACGAAACCCTGGTTCTCTCTGTGGGGTTGTGGCTCTGAAACCCACTTACGGCCTGCTCTCTCGTCACGGACTCATCCCTCTGGTCAACTCAATGGATGTGCCAGGAATCATGACTAGGAGTGTCCATGATGCTGCCACTGTCTTGAGTATGACATCTGCTTGAGTGTGAGATTAACATTTGAGGATCACTGATTTAAATCTGTACTTTATGTTTGCGGGTGGTTCTGTTTTTCAGGGATTCTGCAGGGCCCAGATGAGAGAGACTCAACAACTGTCCAGGCACCCAGCACCCCACCTAGCCTTCCTGAACACTTTGACATTAGAGACATATGTGTCGGTATACCAAAGGTAAAGCTGCGTTCAGACCATCCACTGGGACTGCTCAGTGTGGCTAACAGCAGAAGGGTGTAGACTGGTAACGCAATGATTCAAACAAGCATTGTTTTAAAGCTGGACAAATTATCTTACCATATGTCCAAAATTTTATGTTTAGATAATGAAAGTGAAAATCCATTTTACGTCAGTATAAAAATATAATAATTATTGAGATTAAATCTTGACTTAAATATATCTATTATTTAATTAAGAAATATTAATATTTATTACATTGATTATTTTTAAATAATTGTTTAAAAATATTTTGCTTGAAGAAAGTTAAAGCCTATTTTATTTTGCCTTTGTAGCATATTATAATGTGAAAGCATATAATTCTTGTTACTATAATGTGAAAAAATGCCTAAATTACATAAGTAAATTTGTAAATTGCAATATATATATATATATATATTTCTAAATTTAATTCATGCTGCATGGATTACGGTAATTCTGTAATGAAATTGACATTACTGTATACTGTTTTTTATTTATTTTTATAGTAAGAATTTGAGGCACAATAGTGTGACAAAAAATAATAATGTCATTAAAATAGACTTCCTTTTTTCTGATTTTTGGGTGAAATAGGACCCATACATTTCATTATAAGATTGTAAGATTAACCTATGTTTGTATGATATTGTAATAGAGTTTCTATGATTTTAGGAATATCACGCCCCGGGCCTGTCTACAGACACTTTGGCCCAGTGGAGTCGAGTTGCAGCCATGTTTGAGCAGGCAGGGGCGCGGGTACAGGAAGTATCTCTGCCACACACACAGCACTCTATTGTCTGTTACCACGTCCTGTGTTGCTGTGAGGTTGCATCCAACATGGCACGTTTTGATGGGCTTGAATACGGTACATAAAGCTTAAACATGTCTAAAACATGTCTTAAACATGTCACATAACACATGATGCACATACATGCAAACATGATGGATTTAAAATGTTGGGGTTATTTTAAAGCTACAATTACAAAATAAAAGTTTAACATCTCCATTTGAGTTTTGAAAAGTGCTGTGTTTCTAAAAATGTCCCTTTTTGTCCTCAGGCCATCGTAGTACAGTCGACAGCTCCACAGATGCCATGTACACCACCACACGACATGAAGGCTTCAACAATGTGGTTCGCAGAAGAATTCTGTCAGGAAACTACTTCCTACTGAAATCGTGAGAGCCTCAAAAAGAGAACCACTATTGTCTCAGATCCGTTTAAAACTTGTTCATTCAAAGTCTTTATAGCCTCTCTCACACGCAATCTTACTTTAAAGATGTACAAAACTTGGTAAATTGTGTTGTAAGTAACTTACGCTTGCTTACCCCTAAGCTCTGACCACTTCTATCAACAAAACTTTTACAGTTAGACAACTGTTCAAAAGTTTGGGGTCAGTAAGATTTGATGATAACACTTTACAATAAATTCTGTTTCATTCCTACTGACCGCCAGAGGCAGTGTAAACACTATGGATTATCGCAGCGCCAGCTAGATAGGTCGAGAGAATATACCAACAAAGTCACGTAGTGACGTATGCTGAGCCCTGGGGGGTTATAAGCCACCGTAGCTCAGCGCTCTCCATCTTTCGCTTTCTCGCCTGGTTGAGATAGGTTGAGTGATATATTCGCGCAGTCAAGTGCAGCTTACTAGAGCAGCGAGATATCGTCCTCACAAGCTGTGTCAGCGCGCATCTACGCCACTCCAACGGATTTGAAGTATATTTAGCAGTGAGTTTTTGATTTGGTGAGTTTTTGATTTTCTACTTGAGTCTATATTGCTTCGTCGGTTACACTCTATGCCTCTCGGTGCTATCCGGTGGCTGGTGTTTTCCGCGACAATAAGTTAACGGTCTCCCGTTGACTTATCTATTAACTATTCTGAGTGTTTTTCCTCGAATTTATGTTATACTCTGTGCGCTTCGGTTCAATCCGTCGGCCATTTTAGATATATTTTCCTTTTTTCGTGAGATACTTGTTGGCATTACCTGTCGGTTCATCCGAGGGAATCGTATATGTATATTTTTTGTATAAAAAAATTTTTTTTCCTGCCTGTCTTCGTTGTTACCATCATCCCGCTTAACTTAAAACTTACGGTGCTATCCGAGGGTGTTATTAGCGAGTAACTATGGCTCACAGCTCGATTGCCACTGGTTTTCTACTGACTTGTAAGCTGTGCCCTAATAATCTTCTCCCGGACGAAGGTCATGACATCTGCCCGTCGTGTTTGGGTGTCCAACATCTGAGACGTCTACACGACAACATTGCAACCGGGGTTTTTGAAAATCTTCACCCTGGCAGGCGTTTTCAAAAATGTTCGTTTTCAGTAACCTGGTGCTGCGTTTGCGTGTGGATGTACGGCCAAACCGCGTAGAAAAAGCTGTGGTTTTAAAAATAACTGCGTTCGTGTGGACTAAGAAGAGGGCCACATTGCGAAGTGATGAGCATTCGCATGTTGAGGAAAATTCACTTTCTAAGACGGTGTGACGAGTGGGGGCGGGGCCGAGAGCCGTAGGAACGGAGCGAGGCCGGTGGAGTAATTGATAATGAGTGACACCTGCACCACTCACCGGTCTCGAGTCCCACGCTTTCAAATTCTGTGAATTTTATCACAAAATACAAACCATAAATGTGTTTTTTCAGCCACAGAAAGACAGCAAAATACAAAATATCACGTAAAGTCACAATTACCTCAGGAAAGACATTCATTGTACATAAACTTGATAGTCAGCTATAAAAAAAAAAACTCTAGAGAGAAAGATTGTATTACATTTATTATATTTTACTTAACCTTGATGAAATCTGTCATGGGAGTGTGCAGGGAGACTT